GAAGGCAGCCCAATAATCAGTACATGTCATTTTTTCGGTGGCAATTTTGTAATTTAAGCGAAAAATCATGGCTTACGCTAAATGAGCAATATTGTACTTTTGGTGATCGTCTGACCTATTTTATTAAGTATTAGGAGGCACACAATGAGTATAACGATTTCTGCTTCATATCTTCTATTGTTTTTCTTTTTCTGTTATTTTCTTTTATAAAAACTTTTTAAATTATATCTATTATCCACTCCTATTAATTTAAGTACGCGATTCGAATGTAATATGATACTTTTGAAGTATGCATTGATATGACATTTAATTAAAAATGAGCATAACATCGGTACCAAATGAGCATTCACAACTTACAAAGTGCACAATGATATGAAAATTATAAGGTTTGTTAGTTGAACATCACAACATTTTAACTGAGCATCAAACCTCCTTTATTGAGATGATAATCATGGTTTCTGGTGAATGAGCATTAATGAACTTTTAACGAACATCAGAATAATTATGTTGAGTATTAGGAGTCTAATATTAGGAATCGCGATCTCTGTTTCATAACTTCTAATTCACTTTCTTTTTGTTATTTTTTCTTTTATAAAAAATTATTAAATTATATCTATAATCAACTCTTATGAATTTCAATATGTGAATCTAATGTAATATGATACTTTTCAAATATGCATTTATATGACATTTTAAAATGATCAAACATCAATATCAAATGAACATACTTAACTTACAAAATGAGCATTAATATGAAAATTGTAAACTTTGTTAGTTGATCATCAAAACATTTTCTTTGAGTATCAAACTTCGTTTATTGTGTATTTGAATCATATATATGGTAGTTATGAAATATGCATTGATATGAAATTTTAAAATGAATATAGCATCAACATACCAAACTTACAAAATTAGCATTGATATGAAAATCAGAAACTTTGTTAGATGAGCATCAACACATTTTCATTGAGATATGCATTAATGTGACATTTTAAAATGAGCAGAACACCAGTATCAATTGAGCATACATAACTACAAAATGAGTATCGAAAATCTATAGTATGCTCGAATTTTTATTGTGTACATCCTTTGAATTCTCTAATTTGTTCAAATTTTCATTTGTGTATGCTCATTTGATTTTTCTAATGCGCTCATATATTCATTTATGAATATTCAATTCGCTTAACCTTTATGCACATTCATTATAAACACTACTCATTTTGAACATAGCATAAAATTGATATTAGTAATTCGTAAGTTGAAAATTTTAACACACAATATAAAATATAATATTAAAATATCATAGATATATTGATGAAAAGCGACAGAAATGATGGTTAGTGAGTTGTGGGAACGGTGAAAGGAAAATGTAGATCAAGAAAAGAAAACGTTGGTGAATAAGCTTCTCGTTGGTAAATTACTAGATTCTCACCCGCGCGATGCGCGGGATATTAAAATGTAATAATGCATAACTATTATCATTTATAACTATTATTAGTTTATTATAGACGTAAGTCGTAATAATGCATAATAAAGTATAATTAGAGAAATGATATTGAAGAATCGTAGATTGATAGTGTGTTATGGAATAAGTAGATATAAGGAAATGTTAGTACAAAAAACTACATTGGTGGTATGATTAGTTAGCTCGTCATCTTCCGTGCAAATTAATATTTTCGAACCCTTATGATTTGTTACTTTTGATACTGCAACATAAAATTGACCATGCGTAAACACTGACTTTTTTAATAAGAGTCCAACATGCAATAAAGATTGATATAGTGTCTTATTTATAGTCAACCCATCAAAGGCTGTGACAGAAAATTACTCATAAAGTAAATATATATACATTTTAACTTTGGCCTGGTAGCCCATTTCAATTGGAAAAAACCTAACCCAACATTTTCAATTCCCAATTTCTTATCTACCACTTAAAATCCAACTGCAATATTATTAAATTGAAATAGTAAAAAGGTATTTATTTAAATACTTATAAACATTAAAATTATAAAAGTATTTTAGTGAAAAGTCCCATTCACTTTATCCGCAAAAGGCTTAAATGACATGATCTAATTAAAAGCCTGTTTGGTGAATCTATTATTTTTCGTCTATCAAGTTTCTCAACCAACTTTTTAACCAAACACGTAATTTTTTATTTCACACGCCGAATTGTGTCATAAATGAGAAAAAGTAAGGTTGAAATTACTTTTCTGACTGTATTAGCCGAAGTTACTGTGAATGACCACTTTAGCTGTTTTTTCATATAATTTTTTCTTTATTTTACTAATGAAGTATACTTTAAGTATATATTTATCATAAATCAGCAGATTGAATCAGCCAATACTGACACATCAGCCAAAACTTCGTAAATTTCAGCAGAGTCAGCCGATTCAATCGATTTCAATGTTACCAGACGGGATCTAGGTCACTTATTCTTATCAATAGTTTGATAACATTTATGTCCATAAATGTAATTATTCATAAATAAGTTTCTTAATAAAACTATTTGAATATAATATACTCTATATATAATACTTAAAATTATATAAAAGATGTTGATTGATAAATTTATACACAAACAATTTTTATTTCAGTCTGAATAGCCATTGCAATTCGAAGCCCAACACACACATTCATAATTTATTACTACGTATGGTACCTACGTATTTAACAAACCCATTTAACAACTCAACTCATCTAATACCCTATGCCGTAACAATTGAAAACCCATATGCTCCACGAAAACCCTAATACGACATATATAAACTCGTTAAAACCCAACGCCGCCTTATTCATTTGTACACAAAGCGTCCAGGCAAAGAAAGTCAGTTAATCCGATGCACTCCGCCTCCACCCCCGCCTCCGCCGATCACCAATCGTCCCCATCCTAACTTCGTACACCGTAGTTTGGATCCAAAAGGTTGTCATAGGTTAATCCGTTACTTGTTGATGATTGAACCGGATTCTCCGACTGAGGCGTAGATGTGCGATGTGTACGGTTTATATAATCGGCCGGTGTATGGACCTTTCCTAACAATGATTGGTACACTCCGATGTCTCTTTTGGGTATATATGTTTGAACCGTTTGAATTTATACTCTATATGACGCAGTTTTTTCAAAATAATAATTTTTCATTGGATATGAAACCTATTTGTTAGTTACTTCGTATTTCATAGTTACGATGTTAGGGAAAGAATCTGTTTGTTTGATGTAAATCCATTTTTTTTTACAAAAAAACACAGATAATTCTTTCTATCAGGTTGTCATGTCTGTCCAATTTTTTACTCCGTTTTTTAAAAAACAAAAAAAGGTGTAAGGAACTATCTTTTTGTTGCTTAGATCTGTTTACATATCATATGTTTATCTATTTTTACTAAACATGGATACTCAAAATTTGAAAAATAAGGTCGGAAGAATAAATATGCATGACATTAGTGACATATACCTATATACTCGTATCTCTGGAAAATGAGTATTGCAGTACTTGTATATGTCACACATTGTACTTGATTCACAATTCTAAGAGCATAACTATTAGGATTAAATCTGCTTGTTTGTTGACTATGAGCTGTTTTTTGATGGACAAACACACATACATGGTACGTAGTAACTATGCATATGTAGTACTAAGTGTATATAATTGTATATGTATAAACATTTATACAGTATAAATAGTCTATTTTCTGAATATAAATTTAGTAAATAATATCAATCATTACATAAATGAAATATTTTACAATGATGTTTATACCTTTTTTAGATTACATATTGTACTCCTATTATTGATGAACTATGACTTCAAACCTTTAACAAATTTCTAGAATATTTGTTATTGATATATTAACTCTATATATATATATATATATATCTATTGGTCTGGTACACAGATAGGTAAAAATAACAATTGTGTATGCTGTATTGGATGGGTATAAGTAACAATTGATTTTTAAGTTGATAAAGTGCTATGCATGGAATAAATGACATTTGCATATGGTTAGCTCAAGAAAATGAGATAGGCAGTACTAATAAGTTGACATATCTACAATTTGTACTCAATATTCATCTTTTTTGTGATCTATAATATTATTTCGATCCATCCCAATATTGCTACAATTTGAAGCATAATGCCCATTTAAGCCCCCAAATATATAAACTTTCTAACCTACAATATAATGTTGCCTATTGGTTATTTTGGACCTTAATATTAGGACTTCCAGATTCCCTCTAGCAGCCTTCTCGGCAGATAATCTGTAGCCAGTATTTTTTAAGCCAAAATTTATTGCTTGGCGATGAAAGTATTAGATAAGGACTTAAACTTGAATTCTTTTGAGAGATGCTTTTGTAAGATATTTTGTTTCAAGATCATAAATGAATTCCTTATATGGTTGTTAATGCCTTTAGGTCTATTTATATTGTGATAAATATGCATGTTTAACATATTTATATAGTAAACTAAATCTGTATTCGTTCAACAATTTTTTTTCCAACAGATCTATTTACTTCACTTAATCTATATATTTTTGCTATGGATATGTTAATCTGCTCAGTTTGAGAATAATATGAACGTGTTAAAATTTAATATACCTATTGTTTATTAAATGCAAACAATATGGACATACATACTTTTTTTATGTGTTCACAACATGAAATTGAGTGCGAGAATGTCATATTAATAAACTTAGTGTTTTAACTATCATGTAGATGTATCTATTGTTTACATTATGATCTATGTGATACATTCTTCTACATTCTTAAAAAAACTGTTTTAATGTTATTAATAATCGAATCATCCAATTTTCTTATAAAAAGGTTAACTGGATGTAAAACAATATTTAAAAATAGATTACTCTTCCTGTTTTCGTGATCAACTTATTCTGGCCTACTCTATTGCCTTGGTAAGTTAAGTCAATCCATAAATATCAGGTATTGTTATGTAGGTGAACTGTGTTCAATGTTTTGCAGTTTAATTTTATCTAGAACATAAAAATATGAATATTTCTTTTCCTGACTAAAGCAAAAAACTTTTTTCTTTTTCTTAAATTTAAGTCTGAAAGAAGATTGAACAAACATTTTTGAATTCTCCATTTCTTTTGTCTCATAACCTCACATTTATAATGTAATGAATACTGATTTTTCTTATGTCGTGCCCTTGTGAATAACTTATGTGAAATGGATAACTTTTCTATTGCAGGTCTAATCCACCAAGAATGATTATATTTTTTAATCACCAAAGAATTCATTACAAATGTAAATGTGTAGGATTTCCTCCATAGTCAATTCCATAGGAGTTTGTCAATGCATCTGATTCCAAATGTTTCAAGAAGCATTTCTGACACTTTTCCCATGGTGTCCCTCAAGAATGTCAAACTGTTGCTTAAAACAATCAACTCCGCTATAATACCAAAGAAAAATCAATGAGTGTGGGATGTTTATTCAAGCACACAACATCAATAAGTAAGCCTTCACATGAAATACAAATGGATGGCTAAAAACAATTGCATAACTAAAGGAGCATATCCAATCCAGAAATATAATAACATGCTTAATAATACAATCTGTTAAAGTCAAATATATAAGCATGTGCAATCAATTTCCGGGATACGGTGAACTAATGAAGTGAAGCCAATAGTTTAAGGTATCTACAAACAGTAAAGCAAAACTAAAATCGGGGGATGCAATAGTAGCAAGAAAAACAACCCCTTGGAATAACGATGCACAGATGTCAATGCATATAATGAAGAAAACCTTTTCCCAATAAATAAAATGTCATCTCATATAAACCAAAAAAATTGTCATAAACAAATCAGATAGAATCAAATATCAAGACAATTGATTCAGATTTGGTTGTAGCAGGTATTTGTTTTCATTTAGTATTTAAATCTAAGAAGCAATTTGTAATAGATTTAAGTATTTAACTATCTGGCTAGTGTTCATGTAATGTAGGCCTAAAAGTTGTAATTCTTAGGCCTCTTTCATTTGAGGTGCTTCAGGGTCGAATTTTTTGATGAATGTTTTTGAGCATGTTCTCCTTGAAGTGTAGGTTATGTCCACCAAATTTCATATTAAAATTCAATCGGGAAGTTAGTTAAATAATTTATTGTAAAAAACAGCATTTTTGGGCCTAAAAAATTGTGCAATTTTCAAAATTTTAATTAGCTAACTTCCCGATTGAATTTTAATCTAAATTTTGGTGCACATAATCTATATTTCATGGAGAACATGCTCACCAAATTTCATCAAAAAATTCAACCCGGAAGTAGCTCAAATGAAAGAGGCCTAAAATTGCAACTTTTGGGCCTACCTTACATGAACATTTTCCTTAACTATCTTAGTTTAATATAATTTATTCGAGTTGATTATTAGTATTAAAAATAAATGAGGTTTTAATAATAAAAACAGGTTTATTTGTCCATATTTGGCTTTTTGAAACACAAATAAGCTTCAAAATACATAAAAATAGAAATGTATAAGTTTTTATACCAGTATTAATATCTGTTTAATTATTTATATTCATATATCCTAAAATTTGTTTCCATCATTTGCAATGGAGCCAAAGATTCATTATTTTTTGGCTTGAGAATATGGTGGAGTAAAGCAATATGGCTCACTAAACTGTCTGCGCTTCTTTGTTATTAAGTAGCAGTCAGCCCATGCAATTTTGGACACGATTTTCACTATGGGTCATCCGGAAACAATCTCTTTGTGCTTCAGTACAGAGGTAAGACTGCGTACATCCGACCCCCCTTACCCCACCGTAGGTGGGAGCCTTTGCGGCACTGGGGTAAATGAAAATGAAATGAATGATATATCCTAAAATTTGAATTGAATATACCCAATATTCGAATGTAATTCGAATAAAAAAAATACTCATATTTGGATTTGAGTTCAAAATTTGAATCACCATATTTGAATTGGGAGAATAACTTTAAATAATATCAACTATCTTCCATGAAACTAGAATAATACGTACTTTACAAATAACTTTTAATAATACTAACTGTCTGAATCTAAAACAAATAATATGGAGTTACTTTTCTATAAGAAATTCGGTCATTTAAGGCAATAAAAACTAATATTGAACCATCAAATAAGTGATATTTGTAAAGACGGTCACTTATTTAATATTTTGATATTAGTTTTTTATGAGTTAACTGACTGAATTTTTAGTGAAAATTTACTTTATATCACTTTTGATATATATTCAAGTAGTTTGTATTATAAAAACTTAATTCTAAAGTGCATATTATTCTTGGTTCATTGAGATAGTTTGTATTATGTAAAGTAATTTTTCCATTTGAATTTGAATCACAAACTGAATCAAAGTTAATTGAATTCATTTATGAACCTAACAAAATAATATGCCATCCAAACTCCACGAAAGCATTACACATAAGTAATTCTGATGATTAGTGAGGCAGGGTGGGGCACATAGACTTTCACATTGGTCACACGTGTTTCCATATAGCTGGAAGAGAGAACTGTCAATCTGGACCAGTTGCGAGCATACCTGGTATGGTTCTACAACTGTACAGGGTACATTATAGATCTGCATTCTGACTTTAGAAGCTCAAGCTTACATTCAAAATCTTGAAGTATCACGACTACATTTTGGCACTTTTGGTCACTAAATATTTTCCTCTAAAACCAATCAACCCCTAATGAAACTAATGTGGTCCACTTTCCCACACATTGTCCAATTTGGTACACCAGCCCCAAGGCCTCCAACCATTTAATAGCACACTGCATAAGACTGATAATACAAACAACTTGGCAAAAAAAACATCCCATATCAATCACATCAACATGATTGGCTGTAGCACAACATACATCCCATTCTTTTCCTCTCAAAACTTTCTTTGTCAATCTCTCTATATCATACTCCAAAAAACCTACTCTGCAGTCTGCACCATCCCTATTTCTCTAGAAAAATGCTTGGTGTACACATTTTGTGTACACAAAATGTGTACACATGTCTGTCCTTTGCAGAAAATTTGTCTGTAGACATCTGTTTTTGAGTTATCTGTGACAGACAAATTTTTTGTGAAGGACAGACATTTGTACACATTTTGTGTACACAAAATGTGTACACCTAGCAAAACTCATTTCTCCAAGTAGTCTATCCCACTCACCAATGAACAATGTCCATCACAACAATATAGAGAAGATGCTCTCTTGTCTCTAGAGAAACATGATTCTACCACGGTTAGAAGCTTCCAAGAAGGAGATCAGATAAAAGGGCGATTAATAAGTTGATTTGAGATTTTGAAATCACAGAGGAGAAAGGAAACATCAATGAAGTCAATTGCAGCAACCCATGAGCTCGGGAAAAGCAGATATTGTGCTCGGCAAGGGAAGTGTGTGATGTTGAAGAAGTGGAACCAATGGGAATGTTGTTTCAGACTAGGGTTGTAAAAGAATCATCATATTCAAAACATTTGACAAATAAACTACACTTCTAGGTTTAGTGGGTGTTGCAAAACCATTTAAGCCACATTGAATAGTGGTTTTCACCTGTGTTTAAAGAACCAGACCGGGCGGGTCGGCCTGGAACCCGGCGAACCGGCAATCAATCCGGTCCGGTTGTACTCTAAACCGTCAATTGAGTCAAAATTGGAAATAACCGGTGAACCGATTTAAACCCGCACCCGGCCCGGCATGCTCAAACCCGGAAAGCCGTTACAAACCGGCCAGCATGAAGAAAAACTGAAGTGCAGAGAGTGCCGCCCACAAGAATCAAACCTGTAACCTAATACAATGCATAGCAGCCATGCTACCAATTGATCTACAACAGCTCGTTGTATTATAAAGCTTCTCAGAAATTATTATTGTGTAACTATCACTACACCCAAAAGCTACTTTTATTACTTAATGATATTAAAATGAAAACTAATTATATGCACTATCGTTATTATGTACGAAGTACTATTGGAGTATTGGAATATGTATTATATATTCCAGGTATAAGTAAAAAACATACCTATACAATACTTTTATAACTTTCTAGTTGATGGTATGTTCATTTTTTGTTCCTCTAATTTGAAATTCAGTATATGGTTTAGTAAAAAAAATCAATATGTACCGTAGGGAATAATAGTTTATTTATTAGGAAGGAAAATATTTTTTACTTTACAAATTTAACTATATGTTTTACGGAGTATATAATATAATATAGCGTTGACCGGGTTATTTGGTCTTGACCGGGTTGACCCTTGACCCGGTAATTTGTCCGGGTCACCTCCCGGTTCGGTTTTTACAACATAGGTTTTCACAATTTCAATGCAAACCTAGAAGAAACACCTTCCTTGGACTAGCATTCAGTTTAAGCTCAATTAATTTACATACACAGCTTTCGATGCTTACTGCATACGACTCCAAAGGAAATAATTAAATGTGATGATCTTGGAAGCGTCACTGAGCTGATTAGTAAAGAGTATCTGAGTATGGAACAAAATTGTACGAGTTTAGAGTTTTGGCTAGGATTTTGTTGAGATCCTGAACTTCATAGGGTTGGGTTTATCAGATATCCAAAAACTTCTTGTTAATTTGGTAAATTTATGATTGTGTGCCTCAACAATGGAGCCCTTCTACAGATGGATAAGGCATCATATAATAAGGAAACGAATTAACTAATACTAATTCCTTCCCAAATTAAATTTCTCATTTTATATTGCCTCACGAATTAAAAAATAAAACTGCGTAGATGAAATCTAATTAGAAACACAAGAAAAAATCATACCACACAATTAGTATTTTCATAAAAGAAATGCGAACCTTATTTAGGAATGTCCTACTAAGGAATGTTAGAACCTTAAAGTCTTAAACTGGGACGGAGTGAGTACAAACTAATAAGGGATCCCACTCAAAGGAACCATGTCTAATCTAAGTAACATTCAAACTCATGACTTACTTAGCATGTATCAATTATATCATCAAAATGAAATACTGATCTATTGAAGTACCAAAAAATACTTTGAAGACCAGCAACAGGTCCAACATGCCCTATCAAATTAAAAGCTTGTTGTGGAATGTATATTTTAGCTTAAAGTACTAAATGTAAATGTTAGTAGCGAATGTGGTTAAAATGGTTAAGTGCACTCCCTCTGTATCATATTTTAGGTATCAATTTCTTTTGTGCACAGATATTAAGAAAACAAAATACTCTCTGTGCCCCAAATAATTTGACATTTTAGAAAAAAGATATTGTCCCAAAACAATTACTCCCTACAACAACAACATTCAAGCCTTAGTCCCAAAAGATATTGGGGTCGGCTAACATGAATCGATACATGATATCACCATCAAAAGGAAAAGAAAGAAAATAAAGATAAAAAAGATAAGCTATTATAAAAAAGATAATATAAAAAGAGATGAAAATACCTAAAAATGATAAAATAAAAGGATAAAAATAATGTTTATATATATAAGGATAAAAACAAGAAGAAGAAGAAGAAGGAAAAAAATGAGGGGAAAAGATAATACGGGATCACTCCTCCACACGAATACCCGCCCTCCACTTTGCTCTCTCTAAAGTCATACCCTCATCCAACCCCAGAAGAAGCATATCACTTCGAACTCCCCTAACCCACGTCTGTTTGGGCCTTCCTCTCCCTCTCTTCTCTGTCTCTTCTCCACACATCTCAACTCGTCTGACAGGTGCATCACTCGGTCTTCTACGGACCAAACCATCGTAGGCGCAACCCCTACATCTTGTCTTCAATAGGTGCTACTCCCACCATTTGTCTGATTGTCTCATTCCTCGCGTGGTCCTTCCTAGTATGCCCACATATCCACCGCAGCATGTGCATCTCTGTCACACTCAGAGATGCAACTCCCGCATCTTGTCTTCAATAGGTGCTACTCCCACCCTTTGTCTGATTGTCTCATTCCTCGCGTGGTCCTTCCTAGTATGCCCACACATCCACCGCAGCATGCGCATCTCTGTCACACTCATCTTTTGAATGTGAAATGGTTTCACCGCCCAACACTCTACGCCATACAGTAATGCCGGCCTAATTGCTATCCTATAAAATTTACCCTTCAGTCTAGTCGGCATATCTCTATCGCATAGAAATCCTGACGCACTCTTCCACTTCATCCACCCTGCTCTGATTCTATGAGATACATCTCCATCTAACTCACCGTCCTTCTGAATTATGGAGCCCAAGTAACGGAACATATCGCTAACCGGTATCTCCTTACCATCTAGAGTAATTCCGTTATTACCGTTGCTTCTACCTCCACTAAACTTGCACTTCATGTACTCTGCCTTGCTCCGACTTAGTCTGAAACCCTTGTTCTCCAATGTTTGTCGTCATACTTCCAACTTTGCTTTAAGACCTGATTGGGCGTATCATTTTATGGATTCAAGGCATATTTTTTTTACTGATCTTCCAAATTTGCCAATATTAACTCTCCATACATGCGAGAAAATGCTACTCCCTCAGTCCCATAATCTAAGAAAGTAAGATACACTTGGGTTTGGCGTGGGTTTTGAGAAAATATATGATAAAAATGGTTTTACAATTCTAACCTCCAAAAATGTAAGAAAACGTAGGATGGTCCACAAAAGTGAAAAAATGAAATGATATATGAAGGGATAAAGTGGGAAATTAAAAAGTCAGTGCAGTTTAATGTAGGAAAAAGTTCATATTTTTGGAACAACTCAAAAATGAAAGTGTATCTTAAAAATAGAACAGAAGATAGTATTATATCTTCAACATAAATATAAAGAACTTAATCATTTTCATTTACCCCAGTGCCGCAAAGGCTCCCACCTACGGTGGGGTAAGGGGGTCGGATGTACGCAGTCTTACCCCTGTACTAAAGCACAGAGAGACTGTTTCCGGATGACCCATAGTGAAAATCGCGTCCAAAATTGCATCGACTGAATGCTGCTTCATAACAAAGAAGCGCAGACACTTTAATGAGCCATTTTACTTTACTCCATTATATTCTCAAGCCAAAAAATAATGAATCTTTGACTCCATTGCAAATGATGGAAATTATAAAGAACTTAATATTGAGCTTAAATATGGAAAGAGAGGTCATTTTGGTGGATTCCTTAGTACTTTTGTGTGTGATGATCTCTAGTTTTGACTGTTGATGTTAGATTGTATGTACATTACAATCACTACCTACATGTTTGCTTTCACTCTTCAACCTTCAATGAGACCCATTATTAGATAGATAATAGATTGATATGTAAGCACGTCAGATGGTTGAGTCATTTTTTAGTCTATGTGAAGAGAGGTGCACTATTCATTAATCTAGGGTGTGCTATAATAACTGAGTGAGAACACTTGTTTTGTTTTAGGTGTGCTTGGCCTAGTCATTTGATGGTTCATGTGAGCACATTTGTCTGTTTGAATATGTAACGCAAAGCCATATGTTAGAACCTCTGGACATATGAAATATCCTCAAGTAAATGCTTTTGTATCTTAAAAATAAACAAACCATAAAGCAAGTAATATAGAACTTGAAGTTCAATTAATAAGGTCATTTCGTTAGATTCCTTGATATGTTTTTACTTCTCAGAAAGGTTATTTTGGGATGAGGTGAATATGTTATTAATCATTCAAATTCACCCTATACTATATTCTTATTTTGAGGGTAGATTGTACAAATCATAAAAGCTTGTGCAGATGGGTCCACAGGTCATCAAATTATAAAAGGGTGAATTGTAAAAGGATAGTGAACACAAATGTGAGACATACTAAAAATGGGACAAAAAAGTGAACACTTATAAGCATGTTTGGGAGACTTATTTCTCTTCATTTCCATCAAAAAGCAACTTATGAGCTATTTGTTTATTATCAACTGATTCATATAATGCATTCAAACATGTGGTGTTTGGTGGAAAATAGTCTTGGCTGATATGAAAGAAAAAAAATTAACAAATGGGCAATAAATTTGAAGGACACTTGAGCAAGAGTGTAAAGTTAAAACATCAGAAATTTATATCACCAACGGATCTCTTATTGTTTTTCACATGCCTAGAAAATGTAAATTGGAGAATCCTAAGATAAACATGTCAAACTAGTATCATGCAAAGAAAAATATTTGGTTGCTAGAATAAATCTAAATATAATTGAATTTCTATTTTGATGGTTCTTTATTGGGTTGTATCTCCACTATACCTTTATATTAATGGTTGAAGAAAATCTAAAGATAAGGCATAAAAGTTTTTCCAAAAAATGGATGCTGCTATAAGGAATATCATGGGATGAATGTTTATATTGTTGATTGATCGATCCAGGATAAAATTTGGAATATGCAGTGTGCAAGAAAAATAATAGTTTCCTATAAATGCAACTAACAGGTATAATCTTCTTAAGAAAATGTTATTGCAAAACCTCAGGTATACAAAGCTTATTTGATCGAAGCCGTGAATATACAGTGTGCAAGAAAAATAATATTTTCCTATAAATAAAAGTAACAGATAATCTTCTTAAGAAAAAGTTATTGCAAAACCTCGGGTATAGAAAGCTAGTGTGATCGAAGCCATGAATATACTCCTGCAAGATCTGTGGGTGGTACTCCAAAATCTGCATCCGTACATAAAAGTACATTGTTCTTAACAAGCAGAATAAAGATATCAGTGTCTACATTTAGAAAAGATCAGATAGCCAGACTATTACCTCCCTGTATATGAGATCTCTAACATCATCTTTAGTCAATTTTCTCCTTTCATAGTCAAATTCAAATTTGGAAATTGGACGAGCAGAGGGCTCTGCTTCCACGTTTGCTAAACCATGAAAATATGGATCTGCTAGTGCCTGAAGAGATCAATGAACCATTGGTATCAATATAAAGATGACTTGTTTTTGAAAATTCATTAGATGTTTCGTGTTTGAACATTTTACCTCCTCAGCAGATGGACGATCTTTGGGATCAAATGCAATCAAGCGCTCAAGTATTCTAAGAGCTTGTTGATCGATATATGGAAACTTTTCTGAGAGAGGAATGGGTGACTTTTTCCTCATGCCACTTAAATATCTTTTCGCTTTTTCATTTCGAATCTGTGAGCATAAAAAAAGTAATATGTTAATACTTTACTCGGGTGGGGCCAAAGACTGAAGATTGGAAAATATATTGGTGAGAGGAGAGTGGGAGCACACCCTTGAAATGCAAGCAGCGGAGGGGGTGCCCAATAAATCAGTGATGATATCTAACTGATGGACCACATTCTTTCCAGGAAACAGTGGTTTTCCAGTAAGCATTTCTGCAAATATACATCCTATGCTCCATATGTCAATTGCTGGTGTGTACTGCAACAAATATTATAACTTAGAAGTGCAGGAATACATTTCCTGAGACCAGTTCCTATGTAGCATGTAAGCAAGATTGCAGGAAGCCAAGAATAAACCCCATTGTATGTTACTATGTTTACCCTCTGAATGATATTAGAACAGTAAAGGAGCAGCATGATGGCTAAGATGAGGCTACTTTCTTGCGATGACCATCAAACTATATATTTGAATACAGAGATGTCGCTCGAAAGTTTTTTTAAGAAAGATTGGTTAATCATGAAGAAGGTCCAATACGTGAAAGGAAGCAACAATAACCAAGTCTGAATTTTAAGTCACCGAGTTGGATACATGAATTGATAGACTGTCTATCAGGCTCTTCCAGCAATATATCAATTTTTCAGTTTTTTTGCCGTGCACTGTTCACGCTTTTGGTCATTCACCAACAATGGCCTCATGAAACCCCTATCCCCCCTGAGTGTCTTTTTCCATCCATGCCATTTTTTGTTCTACCAAGGACCCTGGCTTAAGTCTTCAGAATTCAAAGACTCCACATCTCCACTCTTTGCAATGGGGACATTTACCTCACGCGGGCAATAGTGGTCATACCAAAACATTAACACATTAGGTTTTCTTTAAGGGTAAATTTTATAGGACAGCAATTAGGCCTGCATTACTGTATGGAACGGAGTGTTGGGCGGTGAAACAATGTCACATTCAAAAGATGAGTGTGGCAGAGATGCGCATGCTGCATTGGATGTGTGGGCATACTAGAAAGGACCGTGTGAGGAATGAGTTGGCTATGACGTTTGCCATAGTCAAAATGAGGTTAAAAAAAAGGTTCAAATCAGAAGAAGTCATGTAGTCTTACATTGTTAATAATTTATATAGGGAATTTGAGAGCATTGATCACTCTAAGCATATAATGCCAATCAAGGTTGAAATTAGAAAATGTATGCATGTGAGCATGAACATTTGGTGTAGAAAATATGCTTACTTTTGATAAGAATGAACCGCAGAGTTCAGGAGCTCGGTACCAACGTGTTGCCACATAGTCCTTCAAAAAACCAACAAGCATTAGCATGACCAAAAAAACTACAATTGCAAGAATTTGGAATGCTATTACTCATGAATCACGAACGAACAAACTAAACTCATGAACTACTAAAAGAGAGGGGAGACATTTACAGTCCAGAAAACAGCAGATGGGGTATCACCAAATGAGACTCGAGCAAGCCCAAAATCACACAGTTTCAATTTGCAATCTGCATTAGCAAGAATGTTCTTTGGCTTTAAATCTCGATGGAACACATTTGCTGCAAAAAGGTAAGATGTTAGAAAATTTATCTCCATGTGATGTGTTCAAAACAGACGTCGACTTATAGTTGTTTCTACAGCAGGGAGTAATTGAAACCTGAATGCATATACTTTAGACCCCGGAGAAGCTGATACAAAAAAAACTGATAATGCTCAGGTGTCAGGTTGTCATTTGTCTTAATTACATGGTGAAGGTCACATTCCATCAACTCAAATACAATATAGATATCTTTGAACTCTCTACTGCATGGAGGCAGCATTATATGTTTTATTTCTACAATATCAGGGTGGCGAAGCAAGCGAAGGAGCTTTATTTCTCTCATGATACGAGTGGCTTCAGAAACATGCTCAAAAACATCACTGATCTTCTTAATAGCCACCTTCTCTCCTGTATGAGTGTCAATTGCAGCAGCAACAACCCCGTAACTTCCCTTGCCAACGACCTCTTGGATTTCGTATTGACTTGCCTCGCCATATTCAGTGAAGAATTCTTTGAAAGGCATACTCTGAAATGTAAGAAGATTAATACAACAATGTCTGAGACTCCGGCGTAGGTTTTACACTTAAATGAGGACAAGTTTCGAGTGCAATATATATGTATATAACGAATAAATAAATAAATAATTAAATAAATAAATTGACTAATAAACAGAATGGCAGAATGACCAGAAGTAAAATGATCCCCCATGCTCTAGTTTTGAGCATATCAAGGACGGGTTAGATCCTAACTTCTAATGCTAGTTCATGATTAATGAGCCTTAAATACATGAACGGGGGGGGGGGGGGGGGGGGGTTGGCATTAAGACCTTGGACATCAAAATGGTGCAAAATATTGTTGAGTCTTATATATGAAGTATGGAAAGTAAATAGTAAGCAGCGAATTCCCTTAGTATTGCTGTATAGTAATCAACTCATGCAGCTAAAATATATACCTTCCCCCACTTCATGCTATGCACTTCAGTATTTGGAAGTTTATTTAGTTAACGTATATGGGCTTGGATACGGAATGTTATGCATGGAAGTAATACCAACAAGGATCTCCTAACATTTTACAATCATCATTCAACACTCCCCTCAAGCTGAAGCATCAAAAGGTTTCAACTTTCAAGCGTTGAAGGTTGGAAAATGAGAGAATCAACTGAGAAATGTCACTGAAAGTCTGGAACAGTACAAGCAAACGTCAAATTCTATTTGTCAAAATCCTTGTTAGTTGTCGATGTCTTTCTACTGTCGCCAGTCTTACAATGCCACGTCTCGATATCTCAGGACGGTCTTGCAGTGCCTGTCTAGTACTGGTCTACTTTTTTGGGTCGCTGATGTTTTTCTCAGTCATTGGTATCTTTTGTCAGTTAACGGTTTTACAATGTCATGTGACATGTCTCAAACAACAACAACATCCAAGCTTTAATCCAAAAAGATTTTGGGGTCGACTAACATGAATCGATCCATGATAATGATGCCAAAAAGAGAAGGCAGACAAGAAGAATAAAAAGAAAAAGTAGAAATATAATAAAGAAACCCCTTCTCCGGGACAACACGGAGGGGCTAATATGATAACAGATCAAGATAATCTCTTTCAAGCTATCATTTATTGGCAATACAACTACAACCATGCAGGCTAGCATTCATTGTCAAGACAACTACAAAGATGCAGGCTACCTTAAATTTATTTAATACGACTAAAACATAACGCATTTTCTCAAACAGGACCACCATTCTCCCCTAATTAGATCTACTCGCATTCTTTTACTAGAGCTAAATAGCTAATTAAGTCCTATTTTGAAATAAATGCAAGACTACTGCTATATGCATTTCACAATTGTTTAACTCCTAATCATTTCTTTTGTTTTTTCTGAAAACAGGATTTATTGACTCGTATAAGAAGAATCATTAACTACTTTTAGTCTTTCTTTAGGACTGAATAAGTCCTACAGTCCTATTTTTAGCACAAATCAGGGATAGTCCTATACTCCTATTTGAGAAAATAACCCGTGTTCTACTACTACTTACTACAATTTCTTAAGAATTAAAAAAAGCTTCCATTTTTATGTACTGAATTTAATTAGACAACGCCTGTATAATGTACTCCCAACCCTACAAGTCTACGAGCATGTTAAAACTTAAAAGATAAAGAAAGATGGAAAATGAACTTAAAAACGCCAACTTTCTTATGCTGTTGGTACTTGGTATATGGCCATGGCAAATGGGCTTAGTAATTCCAAACATCAAATTCAATGCAATAACTTATAATAATAACTCATAAGAGAGACGGCATAGACGACAAATAAGCCTCAATGAACCACGAGTCCATGATAAAATCTTGAAATCATATTAGCTATGTGCATGGTTTGCATCATCTATGCCAAAATTAGCTCGGTTTCCTCAAGATGCCAACTCAATGTCACAAAGCATAAACTCCAATAAGACCAACCTTCCAAATGTCATACTACATTAAAGACAAGAACCTAAGGAACCAATTAGGCACCACTGATGAAAGAAAATTTTACCTGTGCTTGCTCACACAACCAGTTCCCCAGCACAAACACCTTAGCCCTTAGCTGCTCAATTCGACCCCAGGAGGTTTCATATATCAATTGAAGAGCCTGTGACCTTGTAATAGAGAAATACCAGACATCAAAACCACTTCAACTTGCAAGTTGCAACCTATATCTATGCATTCATAGCTATCTTTTCAAGGCAGACTTGTATCTCAATAGATGAATTGAATATGTCGGCCTGGGCCAACCCCATTTAATTTAATTTAATTTTTATATATTAATTAAAAAAACAAAGTTGGTGGTATGGCCGTATGGAGAAAAACGAAAGAACGAATCAGCCAATCGATCTTTCCGATCTAACTAGGAGACAAAAAATGGCAACCCACTTCCTCAAATTTGCGGACCTTATCTAATTACCAATCCCCCTCTTAAGCTGTCATATCAGTTCTTCATCATCGAAACCCAACAACCGTCAGAGTTCAATGTATATACATCGTCTGTGCGCGCGTGCGCTCAAATATAAGTATATATACTCCCTATTTACAAAAGAGTCAAATAGGGTTCGAACTTACAAAAAAAAATGTCAAATAAGATCATATTTAAGTTAATAGTACCCAAATTGACTACTTTGTACTTTTTAGTATAGAAGACTTGAAGAACTAGCTACATTGATTGTAAGGTTATCCCAGGTGAGAGTGTTGTCACTCAACATAGGATGCATGTGCTTGATTTTGAGGGTAAAAAGAGAAAGAGGGGCTAAGATACAAGTGGAGCCAAAGATAAAGTGGTGGAGGCTAGAGGAGAATCTCCAACAAACTTTTACACAGAAAATGTTGGAGGAAGATGTATGGTTCATTGATAATGACGCACATGTGGATGATGTAAAACAAAAGGATGATGTATGGTTATCAATGGAGTCTACCTTTAACAAAGTGGTGAAAGAGATACTTGGAGAATATAAAGGATGTCTACCACCAAAAAAGGACACATCTTGGTGGAATGATGAGGTGAATCAAACAACAAGGATCAAAAGGGAATGCTATAAGAAATTGGGAAAAAGTTGAATTAATTTGAATTCGTTCCCGATCGAATTTTTAGCTAAAATTTGATATGAGTAAACTAGACATGATGAATATGATGCTCAAAAAAATTTATCAAAAATTCCACCGGGAACCACCCGAAATCGCGACGCCCGGACAAAATCTCCCATAGAAGGACTTAATTGACCTTTTTATGAAAATTCGAGGACCTATTTGACAGTTTTCCCTTTTTCTTTTAATATTTGCGGATGCAGTTCTGGCCTATGTTGTGGACACATCACAGTTGACCTTTATTAATATTATTAATTTGATAGATTATTATTATTATTTGTTCATATTGAGATTTGGTCAAACAATCCTTGAAAAATCTAAAATTTGAGTGAACCAAAGATTTCTGTCCTCGGCAAGGGCGGACCGTAGTACAGACCCAGGGGCGGTCGCCCCTCCAACAATAAAAAATTTAGTATATATATACCAAAAAATAATTTTCGCCATCCCAAAAATTATTTTGTTAGAGTTACCGCCCTCCCAAGATAAACTTCTTGGGTCCGCCCCTGGTCCTGGGGCAGCCCATGTGCATGAAAGTTTTTAAGAGGTGCTTGCTTTTATATGGCTTGTACAGTATACGTCTGTATTTTATTGGACGTTTTTGGCTTGACCAGGGCTGTCTCATGAACACATTACGACCTGACTGAGGTTAGAAACAGGAAAAAGCACCCCACCCCACCCCACCCCCCACCCTTAGGGCCAGAATTGGCCGCATAGTTAACCTAAGTGCAACTCAGGCAAGAATGCACATGAATAATAGGCAATTTATACGACGGTACAATTGGGTGTGCCATGTGTATGGCACATCTGCTTTGCACATAAACCAACGTCCGTGCATAGACATTTAGTTGTCTGTACACAGACAATTTGTACTCTTTTTTATCCGCAAGGCAAATGCCGGGAGTCATTTGCCGATATTTTATTAAAAGATAAGGTCATACACAAGAGAGGGGACCATACCAAACCTCTCGCAGAGGCATACCTCTGGAAAACAAAAGCAACAAGAAAGCAAAAAATTTGGGGGGGGGGGCTATACCTGACCCAAAATAAAATACTTCAAAAAATATACAATAGTACTACAAAAACAGATAAAATAAAAAGAGATTCGGGGGACCAAACCATACCCGAGCCCAATACAATAAAAATAAAATTAACTTATCCGAAGATAAGGAATACCGAATAGATCCATACAGTAAGCCTGCTTAGTTGAGATGGAAGAGATCTTGGGCTTAGAAAAGTCTTATCTGGGCCAAAATGGGCTTGCGCAAGAAAATGCGCGGCCCAATTTCCTTGTCTCGCATTATGTCCAAACGAGATACCTTCTTGTTCTGCAATAACCAAACTTTCCTGAATTGAAGACCTCCAGCGTCGCTCTCCCTTACTGCCAGATACTCCATAGCCAGAGAAGAATCCGACTCAAGGTTGAAATGGCCAAACCCTTCACGCACCGCCCACTTTAAAGCAAAAACAATCGCCTGTATCTCAGCATCAATTGGAGATGAAGCTTCCAAATCAAAGCTAACAGCCCAGACAAGCTCGCCATTTCGATTTCGAAGGATCGCTCCCCCTGCAGCAGTACCAGATAGGTAACGAGCATCAGTGTTTAATTTCATTCCTACCTTAGGCTTGTTCCATTTTCCGCCTGAATATTAAATCTCTGCTTTTGAAAATCCCTTCTAATAAGCTGCTCTTCGTATAAAATGTTATCAATGGAATGAAACTTCCTCTCCTTAAACGAATAAGACCAATCCTGAGTGTAATGTTTAATTGAAAGAATAATTTGCTCAGACGATGGAATGTTGTTGCCTTTCCCCAAAATATGATTTGAATAGATTTTCCATATGTGCCAACATATGATGCCTGAAATATTATGTCTGAAACAATCTATCAAATCTTTTGAGCCTGCCTTAATAAGCCAACAGTTTCTGAAAATCTGATAAATAGGGCAATTATATGCTGGAACGGGCATACTCATTAATCCCAGAAAATAAACCCATATGGGTTGAATTTTCTTGCAGCTGTTGTTTTCTGTGTATATACGCAGCTAATCAAAGAAGAAAGATCAAATAATAGGTTTTGTTATTCCCCCTTAATCGAAGGTGTCTCCACCTTTTATACAAGAGTCATACTCTGCCATTTGGTAGGCGGTGGCTATAATCTAGGAATAAAATCAAAGGAAACCTAAAATAAAGAGTCCAAGAATCAAGCAAATACACAAACTGATTTTTGCCCATAAATAGTTAACGCCCCAATACCCCCCCTCAAGTTGGAGCATGGGGATTTAAAATGCCCAACTTGCGTAAAAGAGTGTGAAACTGAGTTTTCCCAAGAGCCTTGGTGAAAATATCAGCAAGTTGCATGGTTGTAGGAACATAATGAGGTGCAATGAGTTGAGCTTGAACGGCATCACGGACAAAATGACAGTCCACTTCAATATGTTTAGTTCGTTCATGGAACACTGGATTATTTGCAATATGAAGTGCAGACTGACTATCACAGTAGAGTGGTATGGCTTGAGGATGGTGAATACCCAAGCTCAAAAGTAACGCTTTCAACCATTTAAGTTCACATGTGGCAGATGCCATAGAGCGATATTCAGCTTCAGCTGATGAGCGGGCGACTGTAGATTGTTTCTTGGCTTTCCAAGAAATTGGAGAGTGTCCAAGAAACACTAACCAACCAGAAATAGACCGCCTAGTAACGGGACATGCGGCCCAGTCAGAGTCGCACCAACCAACCAGGGTAAGATCACTATCAGCTCGTAAGAGAATACCTTGTCCAGGAGAGCCTTTGAGATATCGGACTACCCGCAAAGCTGCAGACCAATGCTCTGTCAGGGGTTTTTGCATGAATTGGGACAAGATATGCACAGAGTAAGTAATATCAGGACGAGTGACCGCCAAGTAAATAAGGCGACCAACCAACCGCCGATATGGTTCGGGATCGGCCAGTGGTGCCCCTGTTGCATGGCCGAGACCATGATTCTGCTCTATTGGAAATGTAGCCGGCTTAGCCCCCAAAAGACCAGTTTCAGTGATAATATCCAGAGCATATTTTCTTTGAGTAAGGAAAATCCCAGTAGAACTGCGAGCCACCTCAATGCCAAGAAAGTATTTAAGCTTTCCCAAATCCTTCATGTGAAAACAAGAATTAAGATATGATTTGAACCGAGAAATGGCATCGATGTTATTTCCAGCAATAAGAAGGTCATCAACATAGACCAAAATGTTGAGCTGAGTTTCTCCACGAGTCAATGTAAACAAGGAATAATCAGCATATGACTGGAGAAAACCGTAGGTTTTAAGAGCCGTGACTAGTTTTGCGAACCAACATCGGGGTGCTTGCTTAAGTCCGTATAGAGATTTGTGAAGACGGCAGACCAAAGTCGGGTCCTGAGTGCGATAGCCTGGTGGAATAGTCATGTAGACTTCCTCATTTAAGTCACCATGCAGGAATGCATTATGAACATCCATCTGGTGCAATTCCCAATTCTTACATGCAGCAATAGCTAAAAATGCCCGAACGGTCACCATTTTGGCAACAGGGGCAAATGTCTCCGTATAATCGAGACCAGCAACCTGACGGTTCCCAAAAATAACAAGACGGGCCTTTAGACGTTCAATGCTACCGTCAGATTTATGTTTAATTTTATAGACCCATCTACACCCCAGTGCCCGTTTGCCGGGAGGTAGTGTAACCAGACTCCAAGTAGCATTCTTTTCGAGAGCTTGAATCTCAGCACGCATGGCAGTCCGCCACCCTTCATCTTTGACAGCCTCTTGGAAAGAATGTGGTTCCGTTATAGAGTGTAAAGCTGCCAAGTAAGCTTGATGTTTGGGAGAAAAAGCATCACAAGTAATATAATGAGTTATAGGGAACGGCGTACCTGAAGAGGGTGATGGAGCAGAATGAACAGGGAATGGACTGTTTTTTATTACTGTATGTGTAACGTAGTCCTTGAGTCGGACCGAGGGAGTCTTATGCCTTTGTCCTCGGCCCAAGACTAGCTCCTGGTGTTCGCTAGTGTTTTCAGGTTCAGTAGCTTCCATGGAAGGAGTAACAATAGTATCTGTGGGTCCAGTGGCAGGGGAGTCCGAACCGGTGATTCCAGCAGGAGTATGGGAATCGAAATCAGTATAGTCAAGTAATGGCAAGTCAAATGAGTCCAAAGAAGTGGAGCCCGCAGGAGTAGAATCCTCAGCATATGGAAAAATGTGCTCAAAAAATTTGACATCCCGAGACACAAAATATTCATGTGTCTCTAGATCAAAAACGGTCCATCCTTTTTTTCCAAAAGTATAACCCACAAATACACACTTTCTGCTTCGACTCAAGAATTTATCTCCCTTAGATTTCAAATTATACGCATAGCACAAGCATCCAAAAACACGCATTGAGTTAT